TAATTCTTTTTGATCTAACCTTTTCTCTAGTACCTGTTCCCCTTTTCCTATTGGCCTCAGTTGCTTTAAGGTATCTGCTTTAGTTTCTCTGCGTTAAGGGCAACAAATGCTAGCTAGTTTTTTAGGTGTCTTACCTATCCTCACCCCTCCCTTGTGTGCTCTCGCTTTTATCATGTGCTCAAAGTCCAATCCCCTTGTTGTGTTTGCCCTTGATCTAATGTCCACATATGAGGGAGAACATACGATTTTTGGTTTTTTGAGCCAGGCTAACCTCACTCAGAATGATGTTCTCCAATTCCATCCATTTACCAGCGAATTATTATCAATATCTTAGAACTAGTGTTGATTCACAATAACTAAGGTATGGAAACAACCCAGATGCCCTACAACTGATGGATCAAGAAAATGTGGTATAGCAGGTGCAGGTTGCTAATGCCTATAATTCTAGCTACTCAGGAGACAGAGATCAGGAGGATTGCAGTTCAAAGCCAGCCTGGGTAAAATAGTTCAGGAGACCCTATCTCAAAAAAAAAAAAAAAAAACACCACAAAAAGGGTTGGTGGAGTGGCTCAAGGTGTAAGCCCTTAGTTCAAACCCCAGTACTGAACAACAACAACAAAAAAAGACACCATGTGGTTTAAAGGTTAATGGCTGCAAAAAGTGAAGTACACCAGTTTCAAAAAGACAAATGCCACATGTCTTCTCTCATATGTAGAAGATAGATCCAAAAGGTAAACATATATACAAAATCAAACATCATCCTATACAAACTCTTATGTACAGCATGTTTATAATAATGGAACTATACTATAGAACTTGGGGAAGGAAGGAAAGGAAAAGAGAATGTTATAGCATCAAAAATATTATAAAACATAACATCTGTGAAGGTAGAGGATATAATGGTAAGTATTGAAAGCTGTTGACAAAGGGGGGTGGGAGGAAAGAGGTAAGGGAGAGTAATGGAAGGGGTTAACTGACCAAAGTAAAGTATACTCACTTTCAGTATACACTGAAAAACCCCTTTGAACATTGACTTAGAAGTTAATAACAAAAGAGAGGACTGTAAAATAGGTACAGTGTGTGTGAAGGTATTTGTGAGAGGAAAGGGTGAATGAAGAAATTAAGGTGAGAGAATATGGTTGATGGACATCATACACTTATATGAAATAGAACAATGAAACCTTTTGGGTTGAGGGGGAGAGATGATGGGGACAATGTACCCGATGTACTATATAAGCCTATTTGGAATTGTCACAATGAATTACCCCCTGTACAAGGAATATATCCTAACTAAAAAATGAACTGGTGTTGAGACCAAACCCTCCTTTATTCTCTTATGAGTATACTTGTATGTGAATTATGTAGGTACTCTCATTTTCCTAGGTTAATAACTTTATATTGAAAAAGTAACCCACAATGATACAAGAAGTATTTAGTAATGCTTCCTGCATGAGTCCACATACCTACTTTTGGCCATGACTATGTATTTAGATCTGTTTTCAACCTCCTACTTTCAAAATCAGAGAACATATGACTATGAGACATAGTTACAAATGAAGAAATTTGAACTTTTCTTTGGGACTTAATTGTAGATATCATTACCATTTTAATATAATAACGGCTAGCACTTACTGAGTATTTACTAAGCCTATTAACTGGATTTTCTGAAACCTACCTGTTATTATCCTTATTTTTATAAACAAGGGCACAATGATAGTCCTTATATTTCTATAGTGCTTTATGTTCTGCAACACTATTTCAAATGCATTCTTCTACCCTTAGTTTGGCATGGCAGATGTTAATATGCAGATAGTTTACAGAGGAGATTAACTTCAGGGCTGTCAAATGGTTTGTGCAAGATAGCACAAATAATTAACTACAGCTGTCCTCCAATCACTGGGTTAACTTTTTTCTTAGTCCTTTTCCTACTGAAGTCTTCTAGTTCAGATACTTGGAATCAGATATGCATTTAAACTTTCTGAGAGTTCCATTATCCACATGGGTTCTGATTCACAATCACTGAGGTCATCTCATTGGAAGAGGCTCACCTTTTGCTGGGTTCTGTGGATTAGTGAGAGCTGCAGAGGGCTAGACATCAATAACCTTTACTGGGTCAGGTGCAGGAATTGGTCCTGCCAGTAGGTAGGTACTCAGCTTCCAGGACCTCCTTACCTTCATCTACACATTTTGGATGGTTGGGAAAAGTGCCCTCTAAGGTCTCACATTCTGTGAGTTTAGTAATTTGACTTTTTTTTTTCTGTTTTGGTGGTACTGGGGTTTGAACTCAGGGCCTCAAGCTTGCTAGGCAGGTGCTCTATTTCTTGATTCACTCTGCCAGCCCACATTCTGTGATTTTATATAGTTGTCTCCTAAAAGCAGCCGTCTTGTGTAATAAGAAGTGAAGTTTTAAGAGTAGATTTTTAAAAAATCATTTTGGTCTGTCCTAAGAATTAAGTAGTAAAACATGATTGCAAAAGTAATGTTTAAAATTAACCTGAAAATGAAATTAAGAAAACAACTTGGATGCAGAACTCTTTATCATTAGAAGACAAGTAACCCAATTCAAAATGTACAAAGGGCCTGAACAGACATTTCCCCAAAGGAGATATACGAATGTCCAGCAAGCACATGAAAAGACAGATTCTTGATATCATTGTTATCAGAGAAATGCCAATCAAAATCATAACGAGATATCACTATGATGGCTATGCTATAAAAAACATAGACCATAACCAGTGTTGGAGTGGTTGTGCATAAATCAGAACCCTATTTCACTGTAGGAATGTAAAGTTGTACAGCCACTTTGGAAGACAGTCTATAGTTATCAGTTAAGTTAACCATAGAGCTCCTATGTATAAACTCAAAAGAAGTTAAACACATGGCCACACAAAAGACTTGTACACAAATGTTCATAGCAGCATTATTCACAACAGCCAAATATTGGAAACAACACAGGTATCCATCTGTTAATGAGTAGGTAAATAAAATATAGGATATTTTTCTTATAGTAGAATATTATTTGGCCTTAAAAAGGAACGATACACTGATTGAAGCTTACAAGATGGATGAACTTTGAAAATGAAGTATCCAGTAGAGACAAACAGGTCAGCATGGATTAATTGACCTAACTTCTCCCTTCTCCATGCTCCCTAACAGCAGGCGCTGCCTTTTCACTTCCAAGTACCCATTGCTCAGCTCAGTGCTTGGGCTGGATAAGGGCTCAGGTAATATTGATTGGAAGAATGAGTAAGTCACACAAGGTCAGGTGCTTCCCTTGGGTCCTAAATCTTGGGTCAATTGGAAAATCTGAGCTGTTTGTATGGGAAACTTAGTTTACTAATTTGGCATACTTTATCTGGTATACTTGGGTTGACAGTGTAATCCTGACATTGATATAAAGACAGACATAAAATCTAAGTTTAGTCATAAAGTTAAATTTGTTAAAGTCAATAGAAAATTAAAAATGTGTTAATTTTCTTCATTTTGAATGGCTCCTTCTTAAAGAACCTATGTTTTATGAACTGTTATGGAAACTTGAAGCCTGTGAATTGTAAGGGAGATTTGAACATTTAGGTTTCCATTGCAGGCCCATTGTCTTTTTAATCATCTAGCATTGGTATTAATGTATATACTGAGTTGTTGTAGTAAGTTCAGTATGTGTTTGAACTTGTGCTAGGCCACATTTCTTATTAAAATTTAGAAAATTATTTAGAAATATTCCCCTTAGTCCTATGCCAGTTTTTCTCCAGAAGCCAAAACCTTTTATCATATTTGCCTCACTGCTTCTTGTACAAAAGAATAAAGGTAAAGTTTTCAACATGTGATAATGACATATCAGTATATCGGAGCTATATGAAGTCATTATTAACTCACATACATATATATACATATATATAATACATAATATTCATAATACATATCTATATTTCAGTCATGTGTCTTTTTTTTTGTCTTGAGAATTTGACATTAAATAGTGTTTTCTGATAACCTCACCTAGATACAAGGATTCAGAAATGCCTTTTAATTTTGTCCTTCTTTGTGATCTTTTAAAATTAGTAGAAGCTAGGCATGGTACATACAACTATAGTACCAGCTACTCAGAAGGCTGAAGCAAGAGAGTCAGTTGAGCCCAGGAGTTGAACCAGCCTAGGCAATATAACAACACCATGTCTCTTAAAAGAGAGAAAAAAAAGTGAAATCAAAGCAGAGAGAGACTTTCATTAAAAGCCAAAGAACATTAAAACAATCTCAGTAATTTTATCAATTTATGGCACTTTTCATCAAATAATTTTAAAAAGTTTAATATAAAAATGACAAAAGTCAGAAGCCCGTTTTCTTAGATATCACTTATATGACATTGGAAAATGGCATTGCAGTCAGTATAATACAGAGAAATATTTGACTCAGAACCATGCCATACTTTATATTTGGATGGCTGAACTTATTTCTAAATAAGAGTGATCACCACTTATTTTGTTAAGAGAGAGGCAGCCCAAATAAATTTGCTTTTGGTTTCCTTAACTAGCAATCCCTGTGAACTAAGTTACTTCCCCCTTCTTCCCAGGGGCCCCAAAATAACCTTATTAATAGGAATATATGATGTTTGTGTTCTTAAAAAAATCAGGGTGGTCTTAGATGTCTGTCTTCCTTTCTGGTATTTCCCTTTATACAACCCTTTAGAATTCTCTGTTTAAAAACTGGCATTCCATATCTTTTCTTTGGCCTAAAGCCTGGGTTGCATATTGAAACAGCAAATTAGGAATGTTAAGATATCCCCTGAAGAAAAAATGTTTGTTATGAAAGCTGAGCTGATGTGACATTTAGAATTAGAACTTCTTAACTTGTCTAAGTGACAGTTAATGATCTTTTTTCTTTTTCTTTTTTTAAGGGTGGGGAGGAGAATGAAAGAAATGCCCAGAGGCTGATGATTGAGTTTGGTTCACCAAACTGTTAAATGTCAAAGGTACTGCGCTAATAATACACCTTTTGTCTTTTTTTAGGAGCTAATTTTGTCACTCGAAAAATTAGCCGGTCAGTAGCTAAGATTTACCTAGGACAACTGGAATGTTTCAGTTTGGGAAATCTGGATGCCAAACGAGACTGGGGCCATGCCAAGGACTATGTAGAGGTAGGAACTGACTCATTCTGTTCTTAGAAAATGCCTTTATCAGTTGATATTTTAAATGCTGGGTCTGTAGCAAAAAGCATGACCTAGAGGTGGTGGCATATAAACTTCTGGTGCACATATGGTTAACTTCATGCTATTTCCAGTTCAAGACTTGATGGCTCAGGAGTACATGTTGCTTATACTGAATGTTATTTCAACAAGGAAATCGTTCACAGTTTTGTTTTATTTTAAATTGGTTGAAGGAATGGTGCTGGCCAGTACTTTGAATGATGGATGGGAAGATGGATTGAGAAATTTTGAATGTTGGTTCTCTTCACTTTCCAAAGCTTTCATCCTGCCCCATTGTTTCACCTTCTCCTCTTCCTTACCCAGTACTCAGACAACCGCCTTTTTAAGAATGTTTTGAATATAAAGATACTTGTTTTCAACTCTTTAAGAAGCAGTATCCAATTTCACTTTATGTAATGCAAGACCTTTAGATTTACATTATTCTATAAAATTTCTCTGAGAGTAACATTCTTCTGAAACTTTTGGGTTTTGCATTATATCTTGTAACACCACAGGCTTCTTCCCATTGCATACCAATGAGCTTTCTCCATTAAAGAGGGATGGGAGTGTTAATAATGACATTAGTGCAGAGTAATGGATATAGTTAAATCTCCATGCTGATTCTATATCCGTACATGAACAAGCATGGTAAAGGTATAGTCTACCACACCTCTACCATGGTAGATGACCTTGTTCTTGTTTAGCTGCCTACAGATTTCATGTGATGCACAGAAGTCTTTCTGTCCTGAACATTTTTGTCTGGGAAATTGAATTTGACTTCCTTGTGCATTGCTGTAATTCAAAAAGAAATTTGAAAATTTATAAAACAAAACAAATAAGGTTCTGGTGGAGTGGCTTAAATGATAGAGCGCCTGCTTGGCAAGTGTGAGGCCCTGAGTTCAAACCCTAGTGCCACTAAAAAAAACAAAAAGAAAGAAAGAAAGAAAATAAGTGATTCGTTTGCTAACATAAACATTAGCTTTGCCTATGTTTTTATTTTGTTTATGACAACTAAAAATGTGTATGTACTTGAACATGTGATACTGATTTATTTTATGGACAGAAATTCTGATTTAAAATTTTGAATAGTTCAGCATTTTGATCTTTTAAATATGGTTTTCTAAGTTATAATTACAAAGAAGCATTTTACAGCTATAGTCCTAAGATGTATTTTAAGAATATTACATTAAAAAATCCACACTTGCAGAAATTAGAAGAAAGAGGAGATAGGAAATATGAATAGGAGAAGCTAAAACTTTGTCTAACTTAAATAGCCCTTCCTACTGAAAATAGGAAGCAAGTTTTGTAAAAATAAATACCGCATTTTTTAGTAATACCATTTGTGTGTGTAGCCTTCTACAATATTTATATACTTGTGCTACATTAAAGCTATATCCAAATTCTTCTCTTGATTTGGACAGCAAAAAGACTTTATTTCGTTTCATTTTATTTTATTGACTTAGGTGAAAGAAATTTGTACTAGAACTCAGGAATATATTAGATTTTGATAAAATACTATACCAATATGTTGAGAGTGCTTGTTATTTGTTTTGTTTATTCTCTTCTTTATGATTTTTATGTTTCCATATCTTTGAAATGGACACATGTAAACCTTTACAATTAGGAGCAGAAATGACATTTTAAAAATAGACCAACAATCTGATGAAAAGGAATGAAACTATTAAATAAGTATGTAAGTAAAGAGAAAATTTGTGAACCAATGGTTTTCCCATCTTCTCACTCTATAAAGGCCAAGGCCAGCATTGCTAAGGGGTGTAGCCCAAATCTTGGCATAAAGAACTCATGTTTGTATTCACATAAAATAAAAATATTTTATAAATAGTTTGGGCTCAAATATTTGAAAGCTTGTCATTTTTATGATTGCTTGAAAAAATGATGTTAATACAAAATGCCCAGATGTAAAAATACCCACCTGATGTTAACATGCTCAGACCTTTTAATAAAAATGTGAAATTGTTACATTCCATACACACAAAGAATCACAAAGTTAAGGCATTCTCCTTGATAGCTAAGATTTGATTTGTTCTGCAGTACCAATGAGTTTTGTATAGTGAAGATGCTTCTGGAGTTCTAATGGTAATATTCTATTAATGATATAAGAAGCTTTTCATAGTTCTCATTTATATGTGCTGAAAGAAGTCTAAATTTCCTGATTTCTGAAAAGGCACCATTATTAAGAATTCATACTTTGCTACTTTTCCTTTGCAGAAATAGTGACATTTCTTAAGCACAAGTAGACCCTAGCAGTGATAGTGGGAGACTTCAATACTCCATATCAGCAATAGATAGGTCGTTCAGACAGGAAAAATCAACAAAGAAGTTTCAGAATGTAATGACACTGTAAACCAAATGCACTAAGCAGACATCATCCAACAGCTGCACAATACATATTCTTCTTAGCATCCCATGCAACTTTCTCTAAAGCAAATCATATTTTAGGACACAAAGCAAGTCTTAGTAAATATAAGTTGAAATAACTCCCTGCTATTTCAGACCATAATGGAGTAAAGGTAGAACTTAACAGCTAAAGAAACTACAGTAAATATTCAGATATATGGAGACCAAGCAACACATTGTTGAATGACCAGTGGGTCATGAAGAAATAAGGGAAAATCCAAAAGTTCCTAGAACCTAATGATAATGAAAATGCAACCTACCAGAACCTATGGGATACAGCAAAGGCAGTGTTAAGGGGGATGTTAATAGCTATGAGCACCTACATCAAAAAAAGAGAAATCACAAATAAATAGTCCCTAGAGAAACAAGAATATGTCAAACCCCAAATTAGCAGATGGAAAGAAATAATAAAAATTAGGACAGAAATTAATGCTGGAGATATGCACATAGGGAATTATCTTTTCAATAGGATACCGGTTGCCCAGGATATAAGAGCAAAAATTAACAAATGGGCCTGCATCAAATTATAAAGTTGCTGCACATCAAAAGGAACAATTACCAGAATCAACAGATAACCCACAGAATGGGAGAAAATCTTTGCCAGCTATTCCACAGATAAACGATTAATATCTAGAACATTCAAAGAGCTCCAAAAAACTAAACAGTAATCGTAAATTTATTAAAATAATGTTACTTCATAGACTTGTGACTAAAAGTAAGTTTGTTGCCAAAATTAACATGCATAGCTATATCCACACTCTTAAAGAGAATGCATGTGCATTCTGTCAGGGGGATTAGCTTTAGGTTGAAGAACTGTTTGCAAATGTAAATCAAAGAAGTCACAATTGTGTTTCACTTGCATACATTGTAAGTATGTAATGCCTCTTGTTTAAACAAAGATGTTGATAAATCTTTAGGTTAGGAGACTCACATTTTTACATTCAGATGTCTTTACCCTAATAGAGAGTATTGGTCCATTGACTATGACACAGAGAAAATGAATCCTACCTGGGCCAGTGAATTGCTCCTCATCCTTAGATAAGTTGTCATTTCTCAGTTTACTCATCTGTGAAAAGGACCTAATAGCAACCCTATAAAAATTGGCATCAATGTGCTTGACATATATGATTAGTCTATTTCTATCTTTTAAACACCATGAAGTCATTTCCTCTTGTTTATTCTGATTTCATTCATATCCATTTATAGTCCTGCTTCCTAGACCAAAATGCTTTAAAAATTATTTAAGTGAATGAAATGTATTAGAAGGCCAGGCACAGTGGCTCAAACCTGTAATCTTAGTTACTTGGGATGTGGAGATTGGAAGGATCATGGCTCAAGGCCAGCCTGGACAAAAAAAATTTGTAAGACCCCATTTCAACCAATGATTGGTTATAGCAGCACATGTCTGTCATCCTGGGCTACACACCAGGAAGCACAAATAGGAGGATTGTGGAACAGGATGCTAAAGTGCGGCTCTAATGCAAAAATAACCAGCATAAAAAGTGCTGGAGGCATGGCTCAAGTGGTAGAGTACCTACCTACCAAGCACCAAGGCCATGAAGGTCAATCCCCAGTACTGCCAAAAATATTTTTTATGTATTTCAACTTGAAATGAAGAAAGTATATTAAAACTGTATTAAATTATAGTTTACTTCATAATAAATAAGCTATAGGTGAAATATATCTTTGCCAATGTTTTATTACACAGGTTTTAAATATACAGAGATAATTGAACACATTTTACTATAAACACTCAAATATCTACCACCCAAGATAATTAATACCAAACTATATTTTGGGTTTTCTGTTGTTTTATTTTTTAATTTTATTTTATCATTTTTACATTTATGTACATGTCTATACATTATTTGGACCACCTCTCCCCCACCCCGCTTCTGGGTATTTTGAAAAAAAATTACAATATTTAGATAATTACAATAGTGCTAATGTTGACAATTGTAGATGCTTAATTTAAACAATGACAAGTTAATAAAAATTCCTATTTCTTATAAGATATAGTAAGCAATTTGAACTTTTGAAATGTTCTTATTTTCTGTTTTCCCTGAGCCCTCCACAAGGTGTTTTCTTACCTGCTCCCTTTGTATGTACTGACTCCTGGCATTTTTGAGCACACTCTGGGGCATATGATCCACTTTCAAGTGGTGACTCAAAACTGCAAAGGGAAGAACCTCTAACTTTGCAGGATGGCATTGTTCACCCAACATGTATTCTATTGAGCACTACCATGGTCACATTTTAGTTGCTTTGTGTAAAGCCCTATAAGACTGAAAAATGCTGTTCGCACAAAGTTGAACAGATTTTTTTATAGTAGAACTGACTGTCCCAAAGTTCTGATACGTGAATCTTCACTAGCCAGCTAAGATTGTGATAGGGCACCCTTTGAACTTATTTGACTTGGGCACCTTTAGGTACTGGCATGAAAATAAGTTTAAGCTTTTACCACTTATAAGAGGGACCCTTGCCCTTGAGAGACACATGTAATCGAGAGATCTACCTAACTTCAGGTCTTGCCA